ATACCAAAGTTGATTTCGGTTGGTTTGGAAATTATTTCTCTGCGTTCGAAATTGGCTTGACAAACCGCGCATTTTCCGTTTTAAACATTCTCATTTCGTTTTCGAATGCAAATATTTTTCTGGAATGTACGAATAGTGGGCGAGGGTGTGAGAGTACGAGAGAGAGAACAACAATAAGGATTTGAGCATGTCTCGACGCAGCATTCACCGTGAGCACTTGATGCACGATTTAAAATCAGTTTAACTATCGATGAACATCGCACTAATAATACAACCCGTTCGATTTGGCTGTGAGTGAAACACACACACACCGATTCGTCGACGCATTGTGTTGCCAGAAAGTCATCGTATGAAATTTGACTCCAAACTCATTGACTTTTGAATGTTTTGGAGAAAGAGAGTATATTTTGTGCTCGCTCAATCGAAGTGGAAGTCAAAAAAGTTGCAATTAAAATCAAAAATCTTTTTTTTGACTATGGAAACTACATTGCGCATGCAAGACAGGCACAATTCTTTGTTGCAAATGTGTTTACATGCCAACATAAACACAACGAATGAATTTATTATTGTTTAATCGACCAGTTGTTTCTCTCATGCGGAATGCAGGAATTAACAATTTTGTCGTTGCCATTTCCTTCAATCTTCAGCCATTCTATTTCTTTGCAATGGCTCAATAAATATTTTGTAAAACTCAATTTCTTTGGACAAGAGACAATAGGGTATTCGCGATAGAATTTAGAATTTCACCACTTTAATCAAGTTCAGTCTGTTGCTCAATCATCAAGCATTTCCAATTCGAATCGCAGATTGATTATACAAAAATAAATGATTTTTTTTCCATAAAACATAAAAAATGTGGATAAAACAGAACGTTTAGTTTCAGAAAATTAAAAAAAAAATGAATTTGGAACAGAAAATTTGTGCATGAGTTCAATCGATATTTTTCAATTGAGCTCTGAATTTGCTCAAAAAAGAGCTACCAATCGAAATGAAGTGTCACTTCGCGTCGTTGAGAACTTCACGAAACACACCAATACAAATAGCACACTTGTGACTTTTAGGCTTTTAGGCATCGATGCTGTTGCTTACAGTCTGTACGTTGTTCTAGATTATTCTATCAGCCGCCGAATGAGACAGACGTATTGAAAGATACACGAGGAAAAAGTATTTCCAGCAGAAAAAAATCGACGACGAACGTAGGAGTAAGGCATTTTCTGTTTATTTATTCATTCATTCGGATGTCAATTTTTGAGTATAAAATATTGTGATTCGGTCGAAAATGTTGAAAATCGTGAAAATCAATAGATGCCTTTGAAAGTTGGTAGCACATAACCCAACTTATGAGCGTATGTGCTGAGTGCACATGTCAAGCGTACCTTTTCTTAACATAGACGGCTAAAGCACGTGGTTTGCATTTAGTTGAATCACTTTTCATTATCATTGAGACGTCAATATTTAATTTTACGTTTTTATCATTGGTTTTCGATATTGTTTTGCCGAATCCAACAGGAAATGAACCCATTCAAAGGTGTCTCTGGTGGACGCAGAAAGCGCAAATCAAAGTGCTCAAATGTTGAAATCAAGCAAGAGCCGACGATTAAGGAAGAACTCAATGACAGCAACGAGGTCATGAACATACCACGGCCGAGAGTTGATGGAAGATATCGTGCGAATTACGAGGGACCGGCCGACTTTGGCTATGACTTCGATGAGGTAAAGGATGAAGTCAAATGTGAAGAAGAAGAGATGAGCAAAGACAAAGTCTCGACACCATGTGAACGATCAAATGACGGAGCTGCCAACGATGATGGCAACGAAGAGCCTATGGATGACACAATCGATGTTCAACCACCGCAACCAGTCGGCAGTGGAAAGAAACGGAATGGAAGCCCCAAACGACGAAACAAACGAATGATTCCCAGAAAACAAGTGGCCAAAAAGCAGAAGAAGCACAAATGTCATGTGTGCAACCATTTGGAAAATTGTAAGTCTCACCTCTTAAGACACTTGCGAATTCACACTAGAGAAAAGCCGTTTCAGTGTGATGTTTGTTTGAAGTCCTTAGCACGAAAAAGTGATTTGAACCGTCATAAGGAAACGCATGGCCGATTCCGCTGTTCAAAATGTAAACAAGGATTTGAACTAGAATCAGCCAAGATCGATCATGAAAAACTATGTAACCCCCTTCAACTCGAATGCGATATTTGCGGACATCACACTGTGGTGAAATCTAGTTTAGCAATACATATGCGGATTCATTCAGGGGAAAAGCCGTTCGAGTGCTCAATTTGTTTCAAGTCATTTACAAGCAACGCTAATCACCGAATTCATTCAATGACTCACAAAGATGAACTACCGAACGCCTGTTCTAAATGTGGCCGACGATTCGCCACACCAGACGATAAGCAATCACACGAAACGCGCTGCCAACGAAGTCTTTTCGCATGTAATCAGTGTCATTACAAAACTGTTCGCAAGCAACATTTAAAGCTGCACATGCAATCAAGACACGGAGCCAAAAGATCGATCGGATGTGACATTTGCAGCAAACAATTCGTCAAACGAAGTGATTTAAATCGGCATTTGTACACGGCACACAGTGACCAATTCCCATTCCAATGCTCCAAGTGCTTTGGAGGATACGCTACTGAAGATACAAAAGAGGTCCATCAAGATTGCTGTGGCTACCGTCAGTATCAATGCCATTTGTGTGAAGAATATCGTCGAAACATCATTCCTTTGAAGGCACACATGCGAAAAGATCACACCGGGGAGCGGATTCAATGCAAAGTGTGTGCAGCGAGCTTTACCCAGAAAAGTCATGCCAATCGACACATGAAAACTGTTCACCGTTTGCAGAAGAAATAAATCATGCATCGCATGTGTACAACAAGAAGTTGAGCTGGAAATCGATCTTTCATTCGATGCCGTCGAATCGAGGGGGAAATCACTTAAGAGTAATTTAAATGTCACAAGTAATTATGATAATAGAAAAGTAATTTTTCCCAAAAAAAAGTAATTGAGGTAGATGCCATCAATAGTTTGGCTATGTCTGTTCGGCATAAATCACATACCCGAAGTATTCTTGGATACATAATCGTGAAAAACAAAAATTAGTCGTTTTATAAAATAAAAATGAAGATGAAAAAGATAGTTTGGTGTGGGCTCGATTACGTTTTTTTCCAAAATGCCGCATTTGACTAAAATGAAATTTGTATAGGACCTAGAAATAAAACTTACTTCAAGCTCAATTTTATATCTTTTGGTATTTCAAAACCAATGTCGTTTTCAAGAACGAACCAGAAATTGTTTTCCATTTCAAATTCTATTTTTCGATATGAGTGTAGTTTGTTTGTTGGCTTGACAATGTCAAACTTTGACATAAACGTCTAATTACTTTCGTAATTGACTAAAGTAATAGCGTGCCAAAAAGTAATAGAGACAGTAATTTGATAGTTTTGAAAATTCAAAGAGTGATTTCCCCCTCGCTTCGAATAGACACATTAACTGAACTTACACTTTTATACCCTTGAAATAAACGATGCAACTTCAATTTTAAATCAGTTTGAAAGATCATTCAATATTTTTCAATACAAACGGTTCATCGATACCACCTTAGATTTAAGCTCCATTTTGGAATGAAACAAAACCGAAAAATAATGAAACAAAAAGAGAAGAGAGTTGACTTTCATTTCTGTCCTTAGTTTTGCAGCAATTTTATTTTGTTGACACAAAATCAACTCTGCACTTCGTTGTTATTGTATTCAATTATTTGATTTAAATTGATTTCCGATTAATTGACCATTAGCTTCGTCCTTTCCCGGGTTATCAGAAAATATCTCAATGTTCCGGAGATTTCCGATTGCAAAAGAATAAAAAGATGATTGAATTCTCCTTAATGAACAGTAGTTCTATGTAAATAAATAAATGAATTTGCCCAATTTTTTCAGCATCAACGCATAATAGATTCAATCTCATTATTAGACTTAATTGAGCCGCTGAAAATAAATCACAAATTCAATCGAAATGTTCACAACGACCGTATAAAAATGAATACACAGAGACGACACTTCGAAATGTTTGCACGCAAATACGACCCATTATACTGTCAAACTTCGATCAGAGAGTGTTATTTCTCTGCTGAGAAGGCCTGAGCTGAGCTGAATTTGCTGACTCAGGCGCCTGAAGCGTTATGCGTATCGAACCAAGTCGAATTTGGAGCTGATCCGAGCGTTATTTGACTTGACTCGATATGTTTTGAACTGTGGATGCGTTAAAATAACGCTTCAAACGCCTGAGTTAGCAAATTCAACTCAGATCAGGCCTTCTCAGCAGCAAAATAACACTCACTGTTTTTGACTGTTGTATTTCCAACTGAACATTGATCGTCTGCTATTAACTGTTACCACCTAATAATGATGACCAAGAGTAATCAGTATCTCTTTGTTCATGCATGTCGTCTGACTTTGTAAGACCATTGCCCAAATCACTGACGTACAGACAACTTAGGAATAAACGAAACGTAGTGACATTATGATTTTGTTGAATTTGCATTCAAATAATATTGCACTTGGTATAAATCAACTGACACCCATAGAATGAAAGAACAACCTATGAGCTCTTTATCTATAACTGAGACGGAAAAAAACTTAGAGCAAAAAAGAGACAAATAAATTTGCGAGAAAAAGTGACATAACTCAGCATTGAGTGAAAATGACGGTTTTTTGCATTTTTCTCGCTACTGGAAATAGATAACGATTAGGTGTCTTCGGCATTATTGTAGAAAATTAAAAAAATACAAATAGGCCGAAGACATCTAATCCCTACCTCTTTGCAGTAACGAGAAAAATGTAAAAAAATGTCTTTTTCGCTCAATGCTGAGTTGTGTCACTTTTGATCGCAAATTTATTTGTCTCTTTTTTGCTCTAAGTTTTTTTCCGTCTCAGTTATTTCATTCTATGGGTGTACACTGTTCAAGATCAAAAATGTGTGGAAACATTGATTTTTCACCTAATATTCAAATCTTCAATAGCAAATAAAACTATTTAATCTAATGAATATGATTAAACACGGATAATATTGTGATAGATTCAAGCACTCGGAGTATTCCAGGAGTATTTAATCCAATTGATGACACCAGCACACTTGAATGTTATGATTACATTATTTATTATCAAGTGAATTTCAATAACGGTATCATCTTAAGAAGGTGTGACGTACAAAAAAGGGATAAATACCAAGAAAAAGTGGGCAATTACGAAAAAAGTCTTTCAAGTTCTTGATTCAATAAAGTTGATGAATGAAAAACTCATGGAATGAACTGTGTATATGAAAACTATTGGGTAGTTTATTTTTCTTTCTATTTTCAATTGTGGTTCATTTTTATCTTATCGTTTCGTTGGATTCGATTGTGTTGGAACGACCGTCTATTGAAGAGGCTAACAGAAACATTCATGTCTCATTCGATTTGTTACTTTTCATTATATTCTTGTCCTAGTATTTTGGCGTCTCAACCATACTCTAAAATACTATTAAACCGTACCTCCATTCAAACGTTTAGTCAAATCAGCAAATTCTGTCGAATTACGGAATTCTTAGGATGAATTGTCGCACAAATCCCAAGAGCTAATTTCGGCAAAAGAGAATAATACCTTCATTTGGACAAAATAGATTTCCATTTGGATAAAGAGAATGTGTTTCCAATGGCATATTCAGCGAGATTTTCGGCTGGAAACAAACTCAAAGTGGATTTGACTATTAGCGACTTTGTTTATATTGCGTAATGGAGTCGTTTAAATAAATTATTCGAAGCACCGGAAATGCCATTAGATGGATTGGAGGCTGTCAAACGGTTTAATGGGAGAAAAAAAATGAATGGGGGAGTGAGGCAGAAAGGCAGCGGTGAAGAGAAATGGGGAGGCAGAGAAGCAGAGCGAAAAAAAAGAGAAAAAGAAACGGAAGCATAGTAAGCCGAACGTCTCTCGTTCAATTTATGCACAAAATAAACACGTATGCATTAATGGGACAATTGAATCTATAGGAAGGTAGCACGGGTGCATGGATTGGATATTGAATATTATTTATTTAGACGTCTGAAGTGTGGGCGTTGGAGATGGCCTATAACGAAAACTTAATGGTAGTAAAGTGGTTGATGTTGACTGTGGCCCATGCTCTTTTTTCTGTCATTGTTCGTAAAAAAACATCGCAGTTTTTTCTCGTAGCCATGGTTCTAGTAAGCGTAGTCATGGTTCTATTATATGTGTGTCTCGTTCTCTATGGCTTTTCTCTCACTCTCTCGCTTTTACTCTCTCTTTCCTTTTATTCCTCATTCTTTTTTTTCCCTCACTATCCTCTTCTCCCTCCCTCCCGCTCTATTCTTCCTTTCATTTTACATTTCTCGCTTCCATTTGCTCTCTTTCGGCGTTTTTCGCTTCCTTTCTCTTTTCCCCAATCTCCCTCTCCAACTCTCCGCCATATTCTCATTTAGTCAAATTATTCCGTGTGGGCGAATTACTTTGAAGGCCTTACAATGTCGATTAAATATTTTACCCGATTTTTCATCGCTCTACTACTTTCCACTCTCTTCGCTTTGCCATTAAAATCGAATTGAGTACCGTGTGCATGACGTACATTCTCAGGCCGATGCGATGCGATGTTTCATGGCACAATCGAAATAACTATTTCCAAGCGATTTTTCTAATAGTTGAATAAACAATTTCATTAGGACATTACTAGTGTATTGAAATACAAGGGAAAAAAACGATTTACAAAAAGCATAAATGCCTAAAAATGCGTCAAAAAGTCTTCATTATTCCTTGAAAGTAAGGAAAGACAAGCAAAGAGTTTTATACGTCGAAATCATAAAGATAAGTGTGGCAATTCCACCGAAAAATAATGAGTTAGCAACAATTTTTACTTGTTGAAAATCGTTTTATTCCACGGAAAACCCGTCAATTCAATTAGAATTGGCGAATAGAGTCACAAGGTGTAGTAGCAATTGCCATTGTAATTGAGTACACAATTGCTATGGAAACCGTCAAAACAATGCGTTGCCATGCAATCGCAACGCGACCGATTTGTTTACACCGAAAAAAACGGCAATCCAACAGGACTCGGTATGCAGCACGTCGCACATCTGTTCATTTAAACCGGCTTCCACTCACTTCCAGTTTGAATAATTGATATCAAGTTTAAAAGTGAATCGTTGACAAGACCAGTTGACAAGATGTGCGATCCATTCTTAGAACGTGAAAAAGAACTGATGAAACTAAATGAATTGTTGAATAGTAAAATGTCATTCGATCCAAAGACACCGAAAACGAATAACGCAAAGTCAAATAACAAAATCAAAAAGTCCACAACAAGCAAACCGCTACGCAACGATGCCAATCAACCGAAAAATGGTATGAAAGAAGCAAATAAATTGAGAATAGACAGCAGCTGTGATGTCAAAAAACCATTTGCAAACACCCACTCGACCGATAAATTATGTGAAAAATATGAACTTGATCCGAAGGACAACGCCTTTAATCGAAACAATAACAATCATGCGAAAAATGATGACGCGAACAAAATATGCAATGAAACCAAGCGAACGACCGACGACAACGGCGGCAACGACAACAACAATGACGCACCCAGCAATGGTGATACTAACATGTGCGACACATTAATTGACACCATCGAAAAATCCATCGATACTAAACCATCGACAAACGCAACACAATTAAGCCTCATTCCGGGCAATGTGTTTCGGAAAAATACCAGCGCCGATGGAATTATCAAGTAAATTTTGTGTGGAGTTTTTTTTTGTTGATGAACAATTTGTGAAATGACTTTTTTATTTTTCTCGATTGATTTTGATTGATTGACTTATTTTGGATATTTTGAATGGAACAAATGAGTCGAATTTCTGTTTTATTACCATTTTCATATTTAATTATGCCTCCAATTCAAGTGGTTTTGAATTACAAATTCATAATCAATCAAATTGAGTAGCGAATTTGAATGTTTTTGAATCTTTTCTTCAACAACAGAGGAAAAATTGAGTCAATTTTGTCAAAGAAGAACGTGACTCATCACTGAAAGCTGTAGACTCTACGTATTAAAATCGTAACATCAGTCTACTCAGTCACAGTCTTCTTTGATTCTGAATTTAACTATGCAATCGTTTAAAGTAAGTGGTTTGAATCAAAAATATCTTCAAAATCATTACAAAAAACTTATTTGAAACGAAATTTTCGAAAGAAAAATCGAAATTTCTGATAAAAATCAATTTTTTCTTTGAATGAAGTCGGTGTTTTTGAACCAAACACTACGATTAAATTGGAGAAATTCGATTAAAATTTTGAGTTCGACTATTTGACTTCATTCAAATATTGAATAATTGAACTTTTTTCTTCAAATTTCAAGTCTAAGATATGAAAATTTTAAAAGTTAAAGAAAAAAGTAAGTTAAAAAGTCTTATTCAATTTATGAATTTTTGTCATTTGCCATCAATTTTTCATCATTTTTATCAATTTCCGTCGTTTTTCATCATTTCTAATAGTTTTTGTATCATTTTTTCATCAATTTTCGCCAATTTTTACCACTTTTCATCAATTTTTTTTTATCATTTTTCCCCCATTTCCACCATTTCACAATTTTTTATTCTTATACACACCCTTTCACCCATTTCCGTCCTTTCCATCCCGCACTTTGTCAGATTCCTCAAAGCTAAAGTGACCATATTGCAGCAAGAATTGAACTTGAGCCATACGGAGAACATAAAAAATCTGGATAATTTGGCCAAAGCCATTGAATTACAAAAGAAAACCGAGGCGGCGCGTTGTCAGGCCGTACAAAGCATTAACGCCTTGAATGCTCAAATTCAAAAATTGCAACAAAATGAGATGAACATTACGTTAAAGTTGAAGGTTAGTCACATCATACCTTGGTATAATCCATATTTTTCTGAATTAAATTCATTCATTTCAATTGTCACCCATTCAAATTGAAATTTAATTGCTCACTAGGAGAATGAGTCAGTTCAACAGTCGCATCGCAAAGAGTGTGACGAGTTGAGATTAAAATTGAAGACGGCCCATCAATCGAATGCTTCGCTTGAGTTGCGTCTACAGAAGAGTCTGGACGATTTGGAGTGTTTGCGCAAAAACTATCGTGTAATAAAAAATACGGAAAAAGATCTACAATTATCGTTACAGCATGAGCGAACATTCTATGAGAATCAATTGAAAATGAATCAAAAGCAACGCAACGATCTCATCGCCGCTCTCAAAAAGCATATGCTACTCATCGGCAATTTGAAGCAACAAAATACCTGTCTCACCCAAGCGAAATGCATTCAAATGTCAGAGAGTGAATTTCTCAAAATTTTGGACTGGAACCATTCAAATGGCACCAAAAATCATTAAACAATTCACTCACGGCATACTCACCGACTAAGCAAATTACACGCTATCGATATTTTTTGTAGATAAAATAGAATGGCGAAATTTGTGTCTTACGGTAAGCATCGGATGGTTTCAAATTGGCCGGCGTGTTTTGTATTTTTGGTGCGTACCACCAATTTGGATGCATTTCAATTTCACAAAATTCGTTACACAATTCGAATGGATCTCACTTTCGGATGTTTGTCAACGACATGCGCTCGAGAGTGTGGACGAGCGCACTGCGCGCCGCGCACACACACAGAGACACGATGCATAGAGAATTGATGGCAAATATTTGATCTAAAATTGAAAAGCTCAGAGCGGCTCCTACGCATCAATCATCAGCAAACAGCTAATTCGAATTGAACACCACACGATTCACGCTCGCGCAACCATTTCAAATGGAATTTTCTCCTTGAATTATAAATTTTTCTGTCAGCATACTAATTACAGGTCGGCGGTTTGTGTGTTTTTTTTTTCATTCAATCACGAAGCCAGAACACATAAAAACTCGATTAAAAACAAAAGAAATTCGTTTTTGTTTCTTCAACCGCAAAAGAGCGCACAGCGAAAAATCAACATCAGAAAGTGTTTGAAATGATGATTGCGTCGAGAGAGCCCGCAGTTTATTTGCCAACAGATTGATTTACTGATTTCTCGATGAACAAATAGATATTAGGTAATTATTTTCTCGTAAGACAAATATAGTTACAGCAGCAACAACAACAACAACGGCAATAACTTCAGCCAGCAATGAAGTATAAACAAAATGCTCACAACAATGACAACAACCGACCAAATTACCTCTCGCCTCTAAACCGATTAAATCGAATGATATACACGAATTAAAGCGATTTAAGAATTTTAGCATTAATCACACAATTGAATTAGAAGCAATTTGGCGCCAACGTATTTTATTAAGGGACCAAGGACATAGTTTTTTACATTTCGATTCACTTTTTGGATTAAATTTCAGCTATATAGACCAACAGTCTATCATAGACCGATAGAATAAACATTTTTCATACTAAATTAAAACAAAATGAGTTTCATTTGCGTTATTAGATTTGGTTACAACAATCGTTTTTGTCTTGTTCGAGTCTGGGTTTTAGACATTTCAGCGTGTTTTTTTATGACATGAGACTTGCTTATTTGTTGCTTTTCAAGTCATCAAGACTTCATTCATGGCGGGAGACGAAAACAGTCATGGTGTGAGAAGCAAAAAAGAGCCGCAGAAGAACTGTTCGAAATTTTTTTCGTTGACACCTTTAGCTATGTTTGATCATAAAGGCTTTAGCTCTTACAAGAAGATGCTTATAGGCTGCGTTTTAATACATATAAAACTGTCACGAATATCTTAAGTTTTTGACCGTGCACCAGTATGGTTCGAACATGTGTACATTCTAACACTCGACTCAAAGACGAATTGAAAATGATAATTGAAATGAATTTTTCGACTCAAAAGGTTTGGGTCACATTTTGGTTATAATGAAAAATAATGAAAAGGAATTTGAAGATGAAATTTTTTGGTTCAAAACGAATTTGAAATGTTTCAAAAAAAATATCGACAAAAGAATTGACACCCATAGAACAAAAGAACAACTTATGAGCACTTCATCTATAACAGAGACGGAAAAAAACTTAGAGAAAAAAAGAGACAAATATGTAAGAGATGGAAAGAGATAGCGATTGGGTGTCTTCGGCTTATTTGTAGATCTTTTTATTTTCTACAATAATGCCGAAGACACCTAATCGTTATCTATTTCCCAGAGGGGCGAAACCGAACTGTCATCATCAATTACAACGCGGCTGTCAGAATAAAGTACAAATTAAATACACGCCAGACACTCTTAAGTGCACCTTCGTAGAACGACTCGTTGAATTTGAACTACTATGTTTGAAAAAGACAACGTATTTTCGTGAACGTATATTATTCATGGAGTGAATAAAAATGATAAAATCAAGTGGAAAATGAATATTTGTGTAAAATTATGTTGTTTCTTTATTTCCTATTTAAATGCAATGAATGATTTGGATGACACATCCACATTATCAAATTTAGAAAAATGTTTCCAACATGAACATATTTATCTAAGTTTTCTTTAGATTTGCTGATGTTCAAATGAATTTTGAAATCAATTAATTCAATTTTCTCATTTTTTACGTTCGCTTCCTACAAAGTGAGCTTGAAAATGTGTTTCAGGAGCTATGGGAATAAAGTGGCTCCTTAAACACACAATGGCTTTGTTCCACCGAGTGCACAAATTTGTTCTACACATTGAACATGTCAGTAGATACTTAACCTCACTTTGTCAATCAAAAACAAGAAAAATGTTAGCAAAGAATTTCTGAGCAAAAAAAAGAAAGTTCATATTCTTTTTCGGTATTTTTTCAAACGTTTCTAAAATGTTATTAAAAATGGGTTTTCATATTAATACACTAGGTGTATTTTTATAAATAATTGAAATATTTTTTAACCAGAATGCTTGAAATATGTACTCATATACTTATGCATACTTTTAGCGCGTTCCGCAACGAATGACAACCGACTACGCGGTCCCCGTTGTAGTTTGACAGTTCGGTTTCATGGCTCTGCTATTTCCAGTAGCGAGCAAAATGTGTCACTTTTGCTCGCAACTTTATTTGTCTCTTTTTTGCTCTAAGTTTTTTTCCGTCTCAGTTATGGATAAAGAGCTCATCAGTTGTTCTTTTGTTCTATGGGTGTCAATTGAATTTAAAAACAAATTAGAAATTCAAAAATGACAACCCACAAAAAAACATCGAAAAAATGTCAAGAATCCAAAAAAATTGCGACTAAAAAGATTCCAATCCTCAGAATATGATCAAAATGACTCTGAATTACACAAAATTAGTTTGATGTAATCAACTTGCATTCGTAACGTTCATGCCAGAGTTCAAAAGCAGAAAAAATACCGATCAAATGATGCATTTAGATTCCAATGATGCATATTGCGAAAAATTAATTGGCGAGATTTTTCGTGCGTGCTTGTCGTTTTGGGCGGACACAAGAAAAAACACAACTCCGTGATCTGTTTTGTGTTTGTTCAATTGGCGAACAAGAGAGAGAGAACGAATGAACGAAAGAAATGAAGAGAATTCGCATTGCACGCGATGATCATGATGCTTGCCACAAGATGTAGTGACTCTCGCACCATTGAGCATTATAGCGATGTGCAATGTGCGGTTCGGCTGTTCGAAACAGTATGGAAGCGTAAGAGAGGCGAAATAAAACAGCATGATTTATGTACCGCATTTACATTAGCGATTAACGGAAAGGAAAGACTGAAACGAGACGAGAATCATCGATATTCCATTTGGCTTAACTAACACAGTCGCACATGTTGGTCGATTTGTTAACGTACGGTCGTTCGTTTTGTTGCCACCATATTTGCTTGCTTGACTCAAGATCAACCACAAAATTCCAACTCAAGGTATTCATGTTGAGTCAAAATGATATAATATTATAAAATGCACGAATCATACACGAATGCAGCGAGTCACACACAAGCGCACAACACACATCCCATATTGGTGATGTGTATGTGTTGGCCCGCATTACCTGTGTTGTCTACCTGTGACAACTACGTGAGTTGAAATAACACAAGAAAATATGCACGCAAACATCCACACACACACACACACACACACACAGCAATCGATCGTCTTCTCTGGAACCGTCCGCTTCAACGCCTTAGCTCGATAAACAATTCACACACAGTCAACGGTGCTCGCGCGCGCGATAGAGACTTGTTTAGTCAATAACACAAACACCTACAAACGAACGAACGAAAAAACCCATTCGAAACCAAGACAAAGACAGTGCAAACACATGTGAACGGTATGCTAGCGCGCGGTCCACACCGTCGTATCTTGTGTGTTGTCGTTGGTTTTTTTTTACCTGATCAGTTTGCTGTGAGAGGTTCGAACAGAAAGATCGCTATTTCGTTTGATTCCCGTGCGCCTCACTAAGAGAAGACACAGACACACGCTGAACCCCAACAACGATGGTAAACAATTTATATTAAGCGGATCTAGACACAGAGATAAAAAAAAAATTCCTTCGAAAACAACGAACAAAACGTTGAATCGATGTGTGTCTGATCCTGATACTGAAATGGACTCGAAACAGTGACGATTTTCGGTGTTAAACGACAACCAAAAAAAAAAATAATTGTGTGCAAAACAAAACGAAACGATACGTTGTAGTGCATGTGCGTTAATCAAAATTCAGTGAATTCTTTTGCACAATTTATTAATAAATTTTTGTTGTTTGTTCGTCATTCTGCTGGGTTCTTCGTTGAACATGTAAATGAAGAGAACGATTTGGTTTTGATCATAAAAAAAAGAGGAGTGTTTTTGTTTCTCTTTATCAGCGATTCCATCCAATGCTCGGCGAGTGAGAGAACGATTGAACAGAGACGAACACAACTGAGTTGTGTTGAGAATCGGCAAAGAAGTCAGTGATCTTAGTCAAACCGAAGAAAAATAAATCGGCAATCATTTAATTTACCGAAATTTTTCGTTGCCTTTCGTTGTGTTTTTCCGTCTGAATTGACATACAAAAAGCAGGTTCGAGGAAACTGAATAACGACAATTAATTAAAAATATCGAGGAAACAACCATTTTTTACTTGACTTGCTGCTTGTTTTCATGTGTGTTCGTGAGTTTTTTTTTTAATTTTCGGTGTCATTTTGGCCAACGATTAGAATTCGAATGCGTACAACGATAAAGTGTCTGACGCGAAAAACCTTGAAGAACGCAACAGTTTTTTTTGGAATGGGGCAAAACAACGGCAAATTTAAGAAGACAGAATAAAATCGAGAAAGAGCGACAAAAAAACGACGACGATAACGACGATCGACGACAACAGAACAGATCGTAAAGAACAAACAATAGATATTTTTTTGCTGCTACTGGCTACCACATCCAGCTACCTTCTTTTTTTTTTTAGCAACCAACGTAAACCAAAAACGGTGAGTGATTTTAACAAATAGAAACCGAAACTCCAGATTTAATTAGACACCACGACAAAATGTAATGACAAAAAAAAACCGACCGAAACAGAATCGAAGACGAAGGAACCGAGAAAAGAAACAGAAATTGGCAGCAAAATGAGAGACAACGAGAGGAAGAGGGAGAGAGAGATAGACGAACAAAAGTGTAATCGATCGATTGAAATCGATGGAGATGAGTTGATCGAACGCACAGAAATGTTACGCTATTAATATTATTGTCGTAGGTGCGAAATGGTGTGTGCGCTTATGAAATCGAAAAGAAGCAGCGCAAAAAAAAAGAATTGAATAGACGGCGCAAAGAAGTAAGAAAAAAAAAACGTACACGCGTGCAAGAGAAGTAGCTGAAAATAAAAGAGTGAATAAGTAAATACGATGAATATCCGTCGGAAATTGATTGCGAGTTGGCCAATAAAAGTGTCAAACATTCAAATGAAAGCCTTCACATTTGTCGAATCAATTGATTTTCGTTCGGTTTTGAGAAAAGAGTATTTTCTGGTTGCGGTCGCTGGGCGCAAATTGACGTTTGTGCTGTGCTCTGCGCTGTGTGTTGTGTTGGCTTCGGTTGGTAGAAACAAATTTGCAATTTGCATGGAATGGTTGTTGCCTTCCGTATTCAAAGTATGGCACACAACAACAGCTCCACTTGAATGCAATAGCTGCAGCAGCAGCAGTAACAGGCAAGGTATTATCTCATAAGCGATTGCTTTGGTGTGTAACAGCATGCAGTCGCAAGCGAGCGAGCGAGCGACCGAGAGAGAGAAAAATCATTGTTTATGCGTCAATTTGAATCAACGCAACTTTTTGATTGCAGTTCCTCGCCTCGGCTTTCGTGTGTTGCGCTTTTTTTTGCAGCTCGTTTTCTTTCGCTCGGTTTGCAAAGATTTTGTTGTTTTTTTCTCTTCGCTTGTTCCGACCGAAGAGACGGATCTTATTCGTAGTACATATCGTTCAAATTACATTATGCCCGAGTCTGTGTGCGGTTTGTTGTTGTTGGTTTTTCTTTCTCATTTCATTTTTATGCCTTCCACATACATGCAAGGCGCGCTGTATGTGATGGTGCGCACGAACGAACGAACGAGTGAGCGAGCGTGATCACTATGCGCTTTGTGTGTAACATAATATCGCTTGTGTGTGCCGTGTCGTTTATTGCAGCGAAATGACAATATGGATTCCATTGTTATATTTGATTTCATTCGAACCACAGATAGATACAGACTCACCCATACCATCGAAACACATCAGCATGCACTCAGCACAAAATAACAATACACACACATATATACAGAGAGATAGATAGACCGAGAGAACTTGGACGAAAAACGACAAACACACAATAGAAAGGAAATAACTATTCACGAGATCCCCGTGAAAAAAAACGAAAATTATATGAGAAATACACCAGACTGAATGCTCGAATCGCTGAAACAATCGCGCTGAATCGAAATGTAAATAAAATTGAAAATTGAACATCGCATATTTTTCTCTTCTTTTTTCGTCTTCTTCTTATTTTTCTCTCTGCGCAATTCAAGCTGCTCAGCACACACGTAAGCGCTATATTTATCGCAGTTTCGTTTGGCTCGTTTGCGCCAATTGATTTCGAAATACGCAATCGACCAGTCAATGAATCATATTTGGCTTGAATTCGGTAATCCAATACCGATGTTGCATCGGTTTTATGCTCAGGCTCACATAAAAGCTTGCTTAGGTCAGCTCAACTCAGTTTAGTTTACCTCAGTTTAATTTGGCTCGACTCCACTCACCTCAGCTAAGCTACGAACATTCGCAACGATGACCATTCTGATCGTGTTGAATATGGACGGTTTGATGCTTGGACTTTAGATTTTACTCAGACGTTTTTCGAGACTTTTCTTAACACAATTTTCTTTAGCGAGATTTGATTCGGCAACATTTTCTTCTGAGGAATTTTGTGTAGACAGTTTATGTATGTGAACTTTTGTCGACGAGGTTCGCTTTGGTGAGATTTTCTTGGACATGAGATTCAGATCGGGATTTCATGGATCGGGACCATGGATTGAGTTTCAATAGATTGGATTGAACCGATTTCTTTCGGTTTTTTCTTCGGTATTGAAATTGAATTCTTCTTCTTTTTCTCTTTCCCATTTCCCTCATCCCCATCCTTGTCCTTCTCCTTCTCTTTTTCGGTTTCTCCTTCACCTCTTTCTACTTCGCCTTCTTCTTCTTCTTTTCCGATTTTTTCTTCTTCCCGGAGAAGACTACTCCATCACCGCTAATAATCATTCTTTATAGCCCAAACGATAACTACCGAAGTGAACGATTTCGTTGAACGACAAAGCGATTAAACATGAATCAATAAATCGCATAAATGCTCGTATTTACGCATAAATGCCATATAAATCAATCCAGCATTGTAAAATATTGAGCCACATTCAATTCTCAATCGCCGTGTAACCAAATCAACAAACAGTCTCTCGGGACATAGCTTTTGGCGCAAACAATCCCGTTCCGTGCAGCGAAACGATAACAACAAAACACAGCTAAAAAAAATAGCACCAAAGTCGCTAGACGGAGAAAAAAAACACACTCCAAAAATAGCATTGCGCGTACAGGGAGAGAGAATGGGCGCAAATGATCAGCATGACGCATGCGAATGGCGAACCAATGTAACAGAGAGCGAAAAAAAACCAGGCATCCATACAGCATTCGTTGTGAGCCGAACACGCCGGAAAAGTGAACATGCAAATTGAAAGTAAAAGTTTTTTTTGTTGCTGAACAAATAAATGGCCACTACGTAGATGAATAATAATAACAATATTATTTGGTTTCTCTATCTCTGTGTGTTTTTTTTTTCTCTGGCTTACTGTTTGTGTGCGGATTGCGCATTTGCTCGCGCGCCCGAACAAAAACCATACAAACGGCTCTCCACAGCTGGTTATGTGTTTGTGTGGAAACGGGCAACCCGAACCAGAATGACCACAATAACATTTAAGTCAAACAAACCGCGAGCGAGCGCGCAAATCGCCATTTCAACGAAAATACACCGTCTCTATTGGACAAAAGAGCAAATAGCACGTTTTAACGGAGAAGACGACAACCAAAAAAGCATTTCTTTCCGAATACGACAATGTTTTATCGCCAGAGTTCCTATACGATTGTGCAGTGCATTCGTCAACTTGCCACCTTTTATGTTATGATTTTCAATGCGAAAATATTTCGACATTTACCTTTTGAATTCCGAGTAAATATTCCATTCGAATGATTTACTTTTTTTCTGCATGTTGTTTGACGAAGAGAAGTGGGAAAAAATGGGCAACTGAATGAACTCCAGACAGACGAGTGCGTGCAATTGAGACAAATCTGCATAAAAAATGCAATGGAATGAGTAATTTTCTGAAAGAAATCTGGTTGAAGAAAAAGATTGAAGGCTTGGTAGTCATCCAAATGACATTCTAATTCAAAATGCACCTTTCATCAACTCAAAACGCACTCCATTATTACTCAGCGAAATCATGCCGTCAACGGCTTTCAATGGCCTTTGAATCCCTTCTATTGATCCATAAATTTGCAAATTCAATTGAGTGCGTTTCGATCGTTTATAGTAATCGATCTCGATTTAGTCGAAGGTTTTTAAATGATCTAGTCGAAATGTAAATTAGTTCAATTGGTTTTGGATTTTAATAAAACATTTTTCTTTTCGGATATATGATTGACGAACATTTTTATTGCCTTTCAATCGTGCTCGACTGCGTTCAAAGCGCTGGAGTATGTGTGTGTGTGTGTGCTTGTGTAGGTAGATAATTTGCAATAATTCGACAGAACGCCTATCGATTGCATATTTTATGTGTGACGCATAAAAATGCAAAATCACACGAAACCAAAAACAAAATAAAAGAACAACACAAAAACAAAATCGCGTCGCAAGCGAGACAACAGAGACAGGGAGAATATGAATGGTGTTTTAGAATAAAAATCAGCGGATTTTTATGTGGTTTTTTCCGCTCTCTCTCTCTCTTGTGCTGTTTGCATATTGCTAAGGTCACAATGAGAAATATAAATATGCGATGACTTCATTTTCATGTCATACCGGATCCATGTTTACTACATCTTCTCTCAACTCACACACATCGAACTATGAACATGGCAATTGTGTGTAGATTTTGTACTTCGTGCAGACGGCTTTTTGATCGTTGCAAGGCTTAACATGTTGTGTGTTGGTTTTAATTTGCGGTCATACATTGACGCCTCAACAGCCGACAGGCCAACACTTAAGTGGTGCACACGCAATTCGCTACATTTAAATGTCATTAAACGAGAAGAAACATTTTAAACGATCGTAAATTCCCAACAATAAAGCAGATTCTCGTTGGATTTGACAGCAGATTATGGTCGTGTTTTGAGATAGATTTCGGTCAAAAATTGGAACCGATTTGGGTTGAATTTAGAACAATTTTGATAGATTCTCTGCTAGATGGATATTCAATTCTTCGAAGGTGTGCCGAAATGTTTTCCGATAGGAAAAGATGGGTAAAACTAGTGGTGATGGTTAAAAGTTGGTCAAAATTTAGACATTTTTCGAAGCTCAGACGATTTCCTTCTACCATTTACATAACCCATACATTACTTACCATTTACATGATCAATGGCTAGTCTAATTTTCTGAAATTAAAGTCAAAATTTCAAGAAAAAGACAACAACTACGGGAAAAGAACTGAAGAACAGTAAAAATAGACAAAAAATTGATCTTCAGACATTGTTTAAGGGGAACAAATGAAGGAATATCGCATTTTTAAAGCAAAAATCGAATTCATTTGCTTGAAAAGTTATTTTTAATTGATTCAATTCTAACGATCGATAATTGGCGACACCAAATCAAGAGAGCTCATAATCATAAGCAGAAATAGAAAAAGGAGACAAAAATGTAATACGATTGGCAAAATATCTGAACTTTTTTTAATAAAAACTGTATAACATTCATACAT